CATCAAACCTTAAAGGATACATGGTATGAACCAAATTTGTCTTAACATCGAAAAACCTTAGGGGGCAACCTCTCCCTTATGGCCAGGGGAGTTGCTAACCACATATCCTATAGGTAATTGTGGTGGACTCTCTCCCATATAAGCAACAACATTATACACGTCATTAGTGATAAGGGCAAGCCCATCTACTCTGTGAGGATATCGCCTAAGCGATAACAATCTTAGGCGAGGACACCTGGACCTCCCTTGTTTAGAACCTTCACAAATATAACACTAAAACTATCATGTCTCAGTGTAAGTAGTTAAGAGTTGGTTATACAGGATCTACAAACTACATAATTCCTTACGATTATATATTTTAGAGATCGTATACTCTTTAAATACACAATGTATTGTTCATCATTTAGTAATAAAGAAAAGTGGTCTTTATTCATATTTCGAAAAAAGTATTAATAAAGTTGACAACACAATCATTTATCACAATTTCGTCCGCCTGGACCTCCATAAAGAAAAGCTTGCCTAAACTGATATCCTCCATAACCACGGTACCACAAGTCATAACAGTTTGAATTGGTATCAGTATACAACTTCATATCTTTGGGTTCTATGTCAACTTCATTATATTCTGAATCAATAATCTTTAGTAATCTCATGAAATCCGAGTTTCTGAATTTTTCACTCGGTAATCTCCCATTACCCATGGGTGGGCTATCCTTATTAGGTGGGGAATAGGTTTGACCTCCAAATCTTATTACAGAGGCTCCTTTGTCTAAGTGAGTGAATAAATTTTTTGGCCAATATCCAACATATATTGATTTTGTAGTTTGAATAATTAGCCACCAATGACCTGTCATTCGATCCTTAATATATTTCAACAAATAACATATAATTAGATATATTACTAGGAGATTATATTACTAGGATACATGGTATGAACCAAATTTGTCTTAACATCGAAAAACCTTAGGGGGCAACCTCTCCCTTATGGCCAGGGGAGTTGCTAACCACATATCCTATAGGTAATTGTGGTGGACTCTCTCCCATATAAGCAACAACATTATACACGTCATTAGTGATAAGGGCAAGCCCATCTACTCTGTGAGGATATCGCCTAAGCGATAACAATCTTAGGCGAGGACACCTGGACCTCCCTTGTTTAGAACCTTCACAAATATAACACTAAAACTATCATGTCTCAGTGTAAGTAGTTAAGAGTTGGTTATACAGGATCTACAAACTACATAATTCCTTACGATTATATATTTTAGAGATCGTATACTCTTTAAATACACAATGTATTGTTCATCATTTAGTAATAAAGAAAAGTGGTCTTTATTCATATTTCGAAAAAAGTATTAATAAAGTTGACAACACAATCATTTATCACAATTTCGTCCGCCTGGACCTCCATAAAGAAAAGCTTGCCTAAACTGATATCCTCCATAACCACGGTACCACAAGTCATAACAGTTTGAATTGGTATCAGTATACAACTTCATATCTTTGGGTTCTATGTCAACTTCATTATATTCTGAATCAATAATCTTTAGTAATCTCATGAAATCCGAGTTTCTGAATTTTTCACTCGGTAATCTCCCATTACCCATGGGTGGGCTATCCTTATTAGGTGGGGAATAGGTTTGACCTCCAAATCTTATTACAGAGGCTCCTTTGTCTAAGTGAGTGAATAAATTTTTTGGCCAATATCCAACATATATTGATTTTGTAGTTTGAATAATTAGCCACCAATGACCTGTCATTCGATCCTTAATATATTTCAACAAATAACATATAATTAGATATATTACTAGGAGATTATATTACTAGGATACATGGTATGAACCAAATTTGTCTTAACATCGAAAAACCTTAGGGGGCAACCTCTCCCTTATGGCCAGGGGAGTTGCTAACCACATATCCTATAGGTAATTGTGGTGGACTCTCTCCCATATAAGCAACAACATTATACACGTCATTAGTGATAAGGGCAAGCCCATCTACTCTGTGAGGATATCGCCTAAGCGATAACAATCTTAGGCGAGGACACCTGGACCTCCCTTGTTTAGAACCTTCACAAATATAACACTAAAACTATCATGTCTCAGTGTAAGTAGTTAAGAGTTGGTTATACAGGATCTACAAACTACATAATTCCTTACGATTATATATTTTAGAGATCGTATACTCTTTAAATACACAATGTATTGTTCATCATTTAGTAATAAAGAAAAGTGGTCTTTATTCATATTTCGAAAAAAGTATTAATAAAGTTGACAACACAATCATTTATCACAATTTCGTCCGCCTGGACCTCCATAAAGAAAAGCTTGCCTAAACTGATATCCTCCATAACCACGGTACCACAAGTCATAACAGTTTGAATTGGTATCAGTATACAACTTCATATCTTTGGGTTCTATGTCAACTTCATTATATTCTGAATCAATAATCTTTAGTAATCTCATGAAATCCGAGTTTCTGAATTTTTCACTCGGTAATCTCCCATTACCCATGGGTGGGCTATCCTTATTAGGTGGGGAATAGGTTTGACCTCCAAATCTTATTACAGAGGCTCCTTTGTCTAAGTGAGTGAATAAATTTTTTGGCCAATATCCAACATATACTGATTTTGTAGTTTGAATAATTAGCCACCAATGACCTGTCATTCGATCCTTAATATATTTCAACAAATAACATATAATTAGATATATTACTAGGAGATTATATTACTAGGATACATGGTATGAACCAAATTTGTCTTAACATCGAAAAACCTTAGGGGGCAACCTCTCCCTTATGGCCAGGGGAGTTGCTAACCACATATCCTATAGGTAATTGTGGTGGACTCTCTCCCATATAAGCAACAACATTATACACGTCATTAGTGATAAGGGCAAGCCCATCTACTCTGTGAGGATATCGCCTAAGCGATAACAATCTTAGGCGAGGACACCTGGACCTCCCTTGTTTAGAACCTTCACAAATATAACACTAAAACTATCATGTCTCAGTGTAAGTAGTTAAGAGTTGGTTATACAGGATCTACAAACTACATAATTCCTTACGATTATATATTTTAGAGATCGTATACTCTTTAAATACACAATGTATTGTTCATCATTTAGTAATAAAGAAAAGTGGTCTTTATTCATATTTCGAAAAAAGTATTAATAAAGTTGACAACACAATCATTTATCACAATTTCGTCCGCCTGGACCTCCATAAAGAAAAGCTTGCCTAAACTGATATCCTCCATAACCACGGTACCACAAGTCATAACAGTTTGAATTGGTATCAGTATACAACTTCATATCTTTGGGTTCTATGTCAACTTCATTATATTCTGAATCAATAATCTTTAGTAATCTCATGAAATCCGAGTTTCTGAATTTTTCACTCGGTAATCTCCCATTACCCATGGGTGGGCTATCCTTATTAGGTGGGGAATAGGTTTGACCTCCAAATCTTATTACAGAGGCTCCTTTGTCTAAGTGAGTGAATAAATTTTTTGGCCAATATCCAACATATACTGATTTTGTAGTTTGAATAATTAGCCACCAATGACCTGTCATTCGATCCTTAATATATTTCAACAAATAACATATAATTAGATATATTACTAGGAGATTATATTACTAGGATACATGGTATGAACCAAATTTGTCTTAACATCGAAAAACCTTAGGGGGCAACCTCTCCCTTATGGCCAGGGGAGTTGCTAACCACATATCCTATAGGTAATTGTGGTGGACTCTCTCCCATATAAGCAACAACATTATACACGTCATTAGTGATAAGGGCAAGCCCATCTACTCTGTGAGGATATCGCCTAAGCGATAACAATCTTAGGCGAGGACACCTGGACCTCCCTTGTTTAGAACCTTCACAAATATAACACTAAAACTATCATGTCTCAGTGTAAGTAGTTAAGAGTTGGTTATACAGGATCTACAAACTACATAATTCCTTACGATTATATATTTTAGAGATCGTATACTCTTTAAATACACAATGTATTGTTCATCATTTAGTAATAAAGAAAAGTGGTCTTTATTCATATTTCGAAAAAAGTATTAATAAAGTTGACAACACAATCATTTATCACAATTTCGTCCGCCTGGACCTCCATAAAGAAAAGCTTGCCTAAACTGATATCCTCCATAACCACGGTACCACAAGTCATAACAGTTTGAATTGGTATCAGTATACAACTTCATATCTTTGGGTTCTATGTCAACTTCATTATATTCTGAATCAATAATCTTTAGTAATCTCATGAAATCCGAGTTTCTGAATTTTTCACTCGGTAATCTCCCATTACCCATGGGTGGGCTATCCTTATTAGGTGGGGAATAGGTTTGACCTCCAAATCTTATTACAGAGGCTCCTTTGTCTAAGTGAGTGAATAAATTTTTTGGCCAATATCCAACATATACTGATTTTGTAGTTTGAATAATTAGCCACCAATGACCTGTCATTCGATCCTTAATATATTTCAACAAATAACATATAATTAGATATATTACTAGGAGATTATATTACTAGGATACATGGTATGAACCAAATTTGTCTTAACATCGAAAAACCTTAGGGGGCAACCTCTCCCTTATGGCCAGGGGAGTTGCTAACCACATATCCTATAGGTAATTGTGGTGGACTCTCTCCCATATAAGCAACAACATTATACACGTCATTAGTGATAAGGGCAAGCCCATCTACTCTGTGAGGATATCGCCTAAGCGATAACAATCTTAGGCGAGGACACCTGGACCTCCCTTGTTTAGAACCTTCACAAATATAACACTAAAACTATCATGTCTCAGTGTAAGTAGTTAAGAGTTGGTTATACAGGATCTACAAACTACATAATTCCTTACGATTATATATTTTAGAGATCGTATACTCTTTAAATACACAATGTATTGTTCATCATTTAGTAATAAAGAAAAGTGGTATTTATTCATATTTCGAAAAAAGTATTAATAAAGTTGACAACACAATCATTTATCACAATTTCGTCCGCCTGGACCTCCATAAAGAAAAGCTTGCCTAAACTGATATCCTCCATAACCACGGTACCACAAGTCATAACAGTTTGAATTGGTATCAGTATACAACTTCATATCTTTGGGTTCTATGTCAACTTCATTATATTCTGAATCAATAATCTTTAGTAATCTCATGAAATCCGAGTTTCTGAATTTTTCACTCGGTAATCTCCCATTACCCATGGGTGGGCTATCCTTATTAGGTGGGGAATAGGTTTGACCTCCAAATCTTATTACAGAGGCTCCTTTGTCTAAGTGAGTGAATAAATTTTTTGGCCAATATCCAACATATACTGATTTTGTAGTTTGAATAATTAGCCACCAATGACCTGTCATTCGATCCTTAATATATTTCAACAAATAACATATAATTAGATATATTACTAGGAGATTATATTACTAGGATACATGGTATGAACCAAATTTGTCTTAACATCGAAAAACCTTAGGGGGCAACCTCTCCCTTATGGCCAGGGGAGTTGCTAACCACATATCCTATAGGTAATTGTGGTGGACTCTCTCCCATATAAGCAACAACATTATACACGTCATTAGTGATAAGGGCAAGCCCATCTACTCTGTGAGGATATCGCCTAAGCGATAACAATCTTAGGCGAGGACACCTGGACCTCCCTTGTTTAGAACCTTCACAAATATAACACTAAAACTATCATGTCTCAGTGTAAGTAGTTAAGAGTTGGTTATACAGGATCTACAAACTACATAATTCCTTACGATTATATATTTTAGAGATCGTATACTCTTTAAATACACAATGTATTGTTCATCATTTAGTAATAAAGAAAAGTGGTCTTTATTCATATTTCGAAAAAAGTATTAATAAAGTTGACAACACAATCATTTATCACAATTTCGTCCGCCTGGACCTCCATAAAGAAAAGCTTGCCTAAACTGATATCCTCCATAACCACGGTACCACAAGTCATAACAGTTTGAATTGGTATCAGTATACAACTTCATATCTTTGGGTTCTATGTCAACTTCATTATATTCTGAATCAATAATCTTTAGTAATCTCATGAAATCCGAGTTTCTGAATTTTTCACTCGGTAATCTCCCATTACCCATGGGTGGACTATCCTTATTAGGTGGGGAATAGGTTTGACCTCCAAATCTTATTACAGAGGCTCCTTTGTCTAAGTGAGTGAATAAATTTTTTGGCCAATATCCAACATATACTGATTTTGTAGTTTGAATAATTAGCCACCAATGACCTGTCATTCGATCCTGAATATATTTCAACAAATAACATATAATTAGATATATTACTAGGAGATTATATTAACACATCATAGTAAAATGAATTCAAAAACATTAACTCATAATGAATTGTAAATATTTTAATAAGACTCTTATGAATCAATTTAATTATCACTATTCTTATGTATAAAGTTAGGAATTTAAAAATATTTAGTTACTATACACCTTAAATAAAATATTATTTTAAAAAAATTAACTTTTGCTGTAATTATTTTTAAAAACATATTATAATATATTTAAATACATTCAAAATTAAACTTTTACCTGTTTGATTTTGTAATAACCTATATATTTTAATGATGATCCCATCCTAGTAGTAGGATACATGAGAGAACCAAGAGCAAATTTTTTGTCCTGGCATACTTGCACAAAACCCGGACAAACAATATTATAACATCCAGTTTTTTTGTAATTATCAACCTGAATGTTTATATCAAAGTGAGCTCGAAAATAATCAAATTATATTTTTAATTATTTGATGTATTAAATCTACATTCTTACCGTCCAATAAGTAGTTATTCGCAGTTGACTGTCTCCATATAAACTTGGATGAACCTTACACAAAAAAAAGTGAGAGTTTTTTCAGGATAATATATACATGAAACCATCGATACATGAAACACACGCACATGTTTTAGGATAAAAATAGCTTACTCCATGTCCAACTTTTATGCCATTAAGTTTCTTTAGGGGTCCATTGACTACCCATATTGCAGATATACTGTATTGTCTTGCTTGAAGCGACAGATTATACGCTGCTATGCCTGCAGTTGCTCCGCGAGCTATCATTTTTTTGGTTGTATCTAGAGTAACTGTCTAGAGAATTAAAAAACATACACTATTAAATTAGGAATATGAAATTTTATGTAAAATGTACTCATTAAAAATAATCACTTACATGATAGCCGTAAGAGTTTTCTGTATACTGCTGAAAATCATCCGTTTCTAATCCTGAAGATGAGTTAATAATATTTTGTTGTATTTTTCTTCTGTTGTAAATAGGCACTTTTCCCGCCGAACATTCATCCACAGTTTTACTATAAGATGATTTACTTTGCGTGATGTTAATTGCAAAGGTTGGATAAAGCTACATAAGTTGCAATAGAGAGAAAATATTAGATCCAATTATTTTTCACATCACAATAAAGCAGATAGTTATTCTTATAACTTATACCTGGATTTTGTGATTTTTTAATACAGGGCTTTGTAAAGAAGGTTGCTCGTAGATATCAACACAGTCAAAATCATTGTCCTGTTGATGTTGAATTTTCTGAACCAAAATTACAATCAGTTAAATCACATGTACAAAAAGTTAAGAAGGGATAATAGATCACATACCATGAGGCTATCGGTTTGAGTAAAATGATTTTCCTCATCCAATAAATTGTTTCTGGCATCAATTTTGCAACTTGTTATGCACAAACTAAGAACTAGAAAGACTATTAGATCCATCGAGTTTTTGAAGGTACTGTGAAGAATTTGTAATTCGTGTACAAGTATATATATACTACAAAGTTAAAAGATAGAACTCCCTCAGTTATTTTTGTAAAGAACATTTTACCTTTTAGATTTATTAAATAATTATTTTATAAATCTTGTAAATTAATTATTTAATAAATTTAAAAAGATAAATTGTTTTTTATAAAAAGAATTGGAGGGAGTAGAATATAATAATATTAAAATAATCAATTTTAAAAAATTGAAGACATCGGTATCCTTTAATTTAATTGGGTATCGATATCTTCAACCAATCTAATATTATAATTTAATGTCACGTCACTTTTTATTTTATTTTATTTTTAATAAAAATTAAAATTTTAATACAATTTATATTTAAAGTATTTGTATCAAACTTAGATTCATCGGTCCTAAAAATTTTATCTTTCAAAAATATTGTTATTCCTATTCTTATAAAATAGTACTTCTGAATTTATAAGAAAAAAGATCCGAACACTCTATTACTTTTAAATTTAGTTGAGCATCAGTATTCTTATATAATTAAATAATAGTATTTAATGTCACATAATTTTTATAAAATAATTAAAAATTAAAAAATTTAACCAATTTACATCGAAGGTACTTAAATTATTTTTAAAAAAAATTATAGGTACTTAGAATTATAAAAAAAAAAATCATTTTGAATGACAAATGAAAGAAAAAAAGGAGTACTTTAACTTTATGCATTTAAGACTATTAATGTATTTAATAAGTTTAACTATTTTATTCTTTATTTTTCACTTTTTCTTTATGTTGAAAAGAATTTCAAATATACATGTTTTTTGTAAAAACAAAAGTACATATTTTTAAAAAATCATATTAGTTTGATATGGAATCACCGACCACTTAAAAATATGTAATCACTAAAGTTTGATAATGAAATTGAGACAATAATATATTTAAGAATATTTTAATTAATCTTATTGTGCACATATAAGTTCATATGACAATAAAGAATTTCTTTGATAAAGTTTTTTTATCACAAATATATAATTTATTTTATTACTTTATAGTTTATTTTTCAGACGCTATTTTAAATAGCGTTTTAGTATATAGTTTATTATTTTTTCTTTTACTTTTACTTTTATTATTTTAACTAAAATTCACCACTATCCTTTATAATTTATTATAATTTAAAATAAAATAATAATTATTAAATATATTTTATGTCATTTTATTTTATCAGTTAATTTTACCAAACACTTCAATTAATTTATCAGTCATAAGTCATCGGTCATCAACTATAAATTATAAGCTATCAGTCACTAGCTATTAACCATAATCTATAAACTATCAATTAACTTATCAATCCACCGTTATTTTTATCAAACAGAGGCTAAGTGTGATTTTTGATATTTATATTATTTTTACATTAATAATAGTTTTATTGATTTATATGAAGGTGTCCTATTTAATTGTAAAATACATGTATGAATTTTTTTTTAATCATAGTTTATTTATGAAAATATATAAATTCTTAATATGTATATGAATGTTGTTTTTATCATAGTTTAATTATGAAAAAATATGATTTTTATGTTATAAATTATTCTGCACGTCTTCAAAGACCACGTCTTCAAAGACCGGCATGCATTTAACCGAGTTAAAAAGAATATTTAAACATATTATCATCATAATTCAAAATGCATGTATTTATTAAATAATATCAAAAAAAAAATACTTATGAGATTTAAAACGATAAATAAAGTCATGTTCATTTAAAATAAAATAAAAAAGCAAAAACAAAGTAGTACTTTAATTTAATGCATTTAAAAATTGTGACCACTTCTTTTTCTATGTATCCACTCTTTTATTTTTGTCTTTGAAGAGAAATCCAAATATACACATTATTTACAAAATCAAGTTTATTTAACTAGAATTAGGATTGACATTTTATACTGATAATAACTCTTTATATATAATGAGAATTAACTTATTTTAAGAATAAATTTTTTAATTTACTCTACATCAAAATATTTAAATTTAATTTAATTTAATAATTAAATTAATATTTTTATTTATAACTATTCGATTAAATTTAATTTAAAAATTATAATTATAAAAATTTATTTTTGAAGAGCGTTTTCCGGTAAGCAGAGGCGGATTTACATTGTTAGGGTTGGAGACTCTTGCCTCCACAACAATCATATTCTTAATTTCATCTATTGATATATTTCTAACTTTTATTTATTTACACCCACTAACTATAAGTAACAAGTACAATCTATGACACTTTTTTAAACTCACTTTATCATATTCATCTATAAAATTATTGTTATTTAAAAAACAAAAATAAAAAAAAGTCCTTTTATAAACATTTCTTTTTACAAATTTATTCTATTACTTTTTAATATTTTCTTTCTAGATATTTTATTATTAGTTTCATATTTTTTAATATTTTAAATTTATTTTTTTATAAACTTATATTAATAAGAAAATTTAATCATTGTCATTGTTAAGATTATTCATACAAAAGACATAATTAAAATATTATTTAAAAAAACTTCTTACTTGATATCAAAGAGAAGAATAAATATTATGTTATAATTCTAAAATTA